CGTTTATTCGTCTTTTATATTCTATTGTTAGCGTATGTTTGATTGATGTGTGATCGAGTCCTTTAAGTTGATTATATCCTAAGTATTTATATAAATCTGTTGGTTCCATAGCTGTTATTGTATCAGAAGAAGTTATTGCGTAGTTACCCGGTTTTATTTTTCCTTTTATTATATGTATTGTTTTGCACTTATCTAATCCAAATTGCATGTTGATATCCGAGCTAAACTCGTCTGTTACTTCTATTAGCTTTTTCATATCTTTATCGCTCTTTGCATATAATTTTATGTCGTCCATATAAATCAGATGTGATATTATTGTTTCCTCTGTACTTTTAAGAGGATATCCTACTCGGCAACGGTGTAATAGGTGCGATAAGGGGTTCAGGGCGAGGCAGAACCATAGGGGACTCAAGGAATCACCTTGATAGATCCCTTTCTTAATGTGTATCTGTCGTGTAACAATAGTATTTTGGCCATAGTTAAGGTGTAGTGTTGTTTTCCAGTATGTCATTATTTTACGCAAGAAGTCTATTATTTTTGAGTTTATCTTATATATTTCTAATATTTGAATTAACCAGGAATGTGGAATACTGTCAAAAGCTTTCTGATAATCTATATAAGTACAATGGAGATTTCTATTCTTTGTGGCAGCATGTTTATGAATTGTGGAATCAATAACTAATTGTTCCTTGCATCCCATATGAGCTCGTCTGCACCCCTTTTGTTCTTCAACTATTATATTGTGTTGTTCTATGTGTGTGTTTATTTTTTTTGTAATGGCTGATGTTAAGATTTTGTATATTGTAGGTAGGCATGTGATTGGTCTGTATTGGGAAGGTTGTGGTGAGTGTTTGGTTTTAGGTAGCATATAAGTTATTCCAATTGTCATGAATTCTGGTATGTTCTGTTGTCCTAATATGATATGTGTTAGATTTTTAGCTATGCATTTGTGTAATGATATTAATTTTTTATACCAGAAATTGTGAATCTTGTCAATGCCTGGTGATTTCCAGTTGTGTAATTTTGCTGTTATGTTTGTTATATCTGTTTCTGTTACCTCTACAAATTCCATCTCTTCTACTATACTAAATTCTATTTTTTCATCATTTATCCAAGATGCTTTTGAATTATGGCTTATCTGTTCTTCCCATATACCAGACCAAAATACTTCTAGATCTTGTTTAGTAGGTACGTTTGTGTTACTGTCAGTTATTATGTTAGCGGGAGTATGTGGTTTTTGTAAATTCCTATAGAAAAGCTTTTCATTCGTTGTAAAGGTGGTGTTATCATTTCTTCGCTGTTGTGCTTTTTTATATCTTCTGAGCCTACTAACTTTGAGAGCGAGTTTTTGTTTGAAAGTGTCCAAATATTCTTCTGGTTTTGTATTATTTCTGTCATGTTTAGTGTGTATAATACTATTTCGAAATATTTCTTCTACTCTCTTTACTACTTTTTCCGATCTATTATTATTGTAAATATACTGAGTTAGTCTACCGCAGTCCGCTCTTAGTTTTTCAATATCTTTTTCGAGTCTATGTTGCCACGGTGGTTTATAAGTTTGCTTAGTTTTTGTGCGTTGCATGTTTTCTATTTTTTTAGGTTTTACTTCTTCTGTTATAATTAATGCTGTACAGTATATGAGGGTATGTATATCTATTAGCTGTGTATCTTCCGAAATAAACCTTTTAAGTATGTTTTGATTAAATATTTGAATTAAATTGGAAAGTTGTGGGCTATATTTTATTTTAGGAAGTTTGGGACGTATTAGTGGATCCGTTCCTGAGTATTGTATTAAAGTTGTACTAAATTTATCATATATTTCTTGTATGTACGATTCAGTAATCGGATTTTGTACGTTTAAAGTATTAACTTCGTTTTCTAATATTATCGTTACAGATTCAGTTTGTGTTGACATATCTGATGTGTGTGTGTTTTGTGTGTTTGGTAATGAAAAAGATTCTATTTGAGTGTGAAATTCTGAATGAGACGGGTTTCGGGGTAATGGTGTAGTAATGTCGTGTTGTTCTAGTTGTACACGTGCTTCTTCTTTTAATCGGTTCAATTCTTCTTCTGTTAGTAGTTTGTTTCTTACTATAGTTCTTCTCTGATCGGAAATTCGCTGTTCTGTGACCGTAATCTCTGGGTATTCATGTGTAAAAAGTTCATGCAACTTCTGTCTATATGTGGTCATATCAGTTTCTAAATTGGTAATATAGTAATATGTTCGCATGATAAATGAGTTTACCTCTTTGCTCCATCTCATGCGAACTCTCTGTTTTCCAGCCTTGGTGGACGCGGGCAAAAAGGCATTCGCCTCCCGCGCAACATTCAAAGCTGGTAAGTGTGGTTCTGTATGTAAAGTAATAGTGGAAGGTGATGATTGGACGAAGGGTGTGTATGATGAAGTGCTAGGAATATTATGACGTTCTATTTGGCTACTGGTTCTGTCTGTCAGTCTGTTAATTTCGTCGTCGGTAGCGGCTGTAGCATTAACGCCGTGAGCCCGCCTGTTCAACTCACGACGACCGGCTGTAGTGTGTAATTTATCGGGAGAAGCCCGCCTGCTCAACTCCTCACCGCTGACGGTCCGCATGCTGTCACACCCAGCGCCAGCTCCAAGTGTGCCCCGGCGATCGCCCCCGGGCAGCGGTCCTATACGTTTCGTCTTACTACGCGTCTCCATACTAAATGGGTTACCATTGCCACGTTTGCCACGCCAGTAATTTAATTATCGTGTGTCCGCCCCCCACGTGATTAGATGGTCAATCAGGACGTGTGGTTGGGTTTCGGGGGGCTTATTATTATTATTATTATTATTATTATTATTATTATTATTATTATTATTATTATTATTATTATTATTATTATTATTATTATTATTATTATTATTATTATTATTATTATTATTATTATTATTATTATTATTATTATTATTATTATTATTATTATTATTATTATTATTATTATTATTATTATTATTATTATTATTATTATTATTATTATTATTATTATTATTATTATTATTATTATTATTATTATTATTATTATTATTATTATTATTATTATTATTATTATTATTATTATTATTATTATTATTATTATTATTATTATTATTATTATTAAATAGCCAGGGTCTGCCTTACATGTTTTGAATAGTTTTGGCTATTTGTTTTTACGACCGGCCGCCTGCCTGACCCTCCTTTTGGGAGGGTTGATTATTATTATTATTCTATTTAACGAGTAACTTGGGAATATAACTATTATTTCAAATTATCAATCTTTTGAGCAGTTTCTAAAAAACTCATAAATATTAAAATGTAGTAGGGGTTATGCTTAAAGCTAAACTTAATCAACATTATGCTGAGTATTCAAAACTCATTTAATAGTTATGTATGACAATAATATGTAGAAAGAGGTAAAAGTAACTTTCAGAGCAGATGATGATATATAAAAAAAATTGTATGTGAACATTAATTTTATTTATTTGTAGACGTTCAAAAACAGTTAAGTTATAATTAGAGAAGATATTTTTACATAAAAGTAATAGTTTTTTTTTGTGATATGAAAGTTTACATTTTGAGCACAGGGCCAACTAGATCAATTTACAAATTGTTTTTATTTCCCATTAACAGACGAAAGTTAAAGAGATTTTTCATTATTTTTATAATTAAGTTTTCTCTTATAACATGCTAGTCCCGCGGCGAAATTGCATATCTAGATGCCTTGGTTCAGAGGTTCCCAATTCTTTCTTGAAAATATGTTGTTATTACCATAAGCAGTCGAGTTTTTATTGTATGTATCTGCTTACAAATAATCTTCTTCTACCTGGCAATTTCCCAGCTATAGCCAGGGTCTGCCTTTCATGTTGTGAATAGTTTTTGGCTATTTGTTTTTACGACCGGCCGCCTGCCTGACATCAACCCTCTTTTGGGAATCAACATTAATCAGTGATGTCTAAATACTCTTAGAAAGTACATATGATTTTGAAAAATCACATTGGTACTTGCCCGGGCCAGGATCGAACCCGCGCCCTCGGTGACGAGAGGCGGGCCCTCTAACCACTGAGCCACCACTGACCACTGCTTACAAATAATATGTTCATTATACTTTCAACCAAGAAGAAGTTAATTATGTATTATTGATAAAAATGATAATGTGAAGATAAAAATTAAAGGAATAGTTTTATTTATGATTTGTTTAAAAATACTAGTTGATTGGAAAGTAAATAATATCTAAGTAGATAGTTTGACACACGTTATTAATCATAACAAAATGAAATGACGCAAGTCTCAATTTTAATATTGTGATATAAAGTGTGAAAAACTTTCATCCTTAAAGTGTAAAAAGACAGAGAATTTTTATTTTCATATTATCGCAGTACAAAGCTCCAGTTCATTTTTAACAAATAAGATCTAAAGTACTAAAGTCCTTAAACTATATAAGAGTGAAAAAATAAATTCTTCAATGAATAAATATAAAACGTTGTATGTATGTAAAGTTTTAAGGGATTAATTATAAACAGTTATAATATATTTTATATAATTTGTTTGATACTTTTAGAAATTCTAAAATAATGAAATAAAAAATTCTGAGAATTCAAAACATCATCAGCTTATCATAACCCACTGCTGAGCAAAGACCTCTTCTCACATGGAGAAGGTTTGAGCATTAACCACCACGCTTGCTCAAGACGGGTTGGCAATTTCATACTTATAATTTAAAATTATAAGTCCAGGTTTCCTCATGATGTTTTCCGTCGCCGTCTGTCAGTGGTGTCTAAATACTCTTAGAAAGTACATATGACTCGGAAAAAATCAAACCCGGTTCCTCATGTACGAAAGGTGGACTTTAACCTCTAGGCCACCACGACTTGACTTGAGAATTGAAAATTTCTCTTATATTTCTTCATTAAATTCTTTATCTTGTATCATTTCATTATAAATCAGACAATATCCCATTGTAACAATGGTTTAGCATAACAAACGTAACTTCCTGATTCTTTGACAGAGCTACCCTCGAAACCGGTGATCTTTGACGAGTTCGGCAAAGAAATAACCGAATCGGCCGGCCCATTCCACGAAGGGGGCGCCTTTAAGCTTATTTGCTCGGTGAATGGGGGTGAGTACATGATTTGCCTGAATATCCTGCTCTTTCAAAATATTATACGAAAGAAAGTTGAAAAATCTCTAATGATATTTTTAATCAATGTACCTTATATTATAAGACGTGGATTTAGTTTGATTTACAAGTATATATTTTATTTCATACTTATTTCAGATAAATACTGTGTCAATAACGTTTCCAATTTTCAGAGTAATTGTTTAGAACGAATTATGTAGAAGAAAAAATATACCTTTTACAAAAAAACATTGACAGTTTTATTTACTTGATAACTGAAATTTTCAATTGTTTTAATATCGTGTATAAAAAAATGAAACGAAGGATTTAAATGATGACCCAAATTAAGGGTGACTGTGATAAATAAGTAATATGTTAACCATGTAGGACGGATTATTTTGTTAAGTTTTTTTTGTATTTTAAGAGTCAAGAAACGTCCCAAGCAAGATGACAATTGACAAGTGACAGTTGTCAAAAGTGCGGTATGACATTTCTTCACTCTGACGCAGCTCCGAACTCTTTTGTGCGCAGAGGCAAATGACAAACAATCCGTTTGCATCTCGCAAGGACAAAACGTTTTCGGTGGAGTGTCTTTACTTTATAACTACCTACTTAATACTTATTGTGATAACGGCTGTATTTCTCGGAAATAATAATTTGATTTTCTTATAATATTGAAACAAGTGGTTTAATTCTCCTCGCCCGCCTATCGACGACCGCTTGGCAGCCGAAGATGGACCCAGGAAACGTTGTTAATGGCTATGTGCCGTTAAATATATTCGATAAATTGACATGTATTAATTTTTTTTTCTTTCTTCATTATGGTATTGTTAAGTAGAATATGTAAAGTAGATAGTATAGTTATTTCTTACATTAGATTACATTATTCCGATTGTATAATAATTTATTTTCATTGTCTTAGGGAATCCTACGCCAAGATTACAGTGGTTGCATGGGGAAACTGTAGTTTCTTCACTGAGCGCGGGTGAGATGCCAGTGGGTAACACCACATCATTGACCCTCTTGGTCACAAACGCAACCCGTGCACACTTGTCCGCTGTGTACACATGTTCAGCGGATAATACACTGCTATCTCCCCCACAACGGGTCTCCGTCCGTGTCGATCTGTATTGTAAGTATATACATATAGAATCATAAGTAATCGATCATAAAGTTTCATATATAACATAAAGAAAATAGATACTATATACAAATAAAAAAACAAGGTATGTTGGAATGATTAATAGCCCTATTGTATGTACATATATATCACCTATTTAAGAAAGTGTTCGAAATATATGAACCAAATAAAACACTGAAGAACTAAGTGTCTTTAAATGTACACAGCCGTAAACTCCATTAGGCAGATAAAAATATAAAAGTAAGAAAAACGAGTTACGTATAAAACGTTAGACATAAAACTACAAGCTTTAATTATGAAATAAATTTAATTGTATTACTTTTAAATACAAAAAAAATATGAGAAATTATTGAATTTTTAAACTTGTTTTTTATTTTAAACAATATTTATCACACTTTCTGAAATTGGGGAGGGATTTTTTCATCAAGCTGTTTTACCATGATAAAAATAAGAAAACTTTATTTTTGAAACGCTCATCCTTTTTTTAAGTTTCTTGTGAAAATTTTACTGTCTAAATGAAAAATGAAATGACCTAAACGAAATGACCTTCGAAATTCAAAAATTTTCTAATCTTTTAATAAATGTTTGTAAGATGGAAAAGGTCTTTCAGCGTAAAAGCTAATGGAATGATTTTGTTTCTGTCTTTAGTAACAATAAGAGTAAATTGCTCTTAAATTATAGTTGTGTCTAGTTCCAAACAATAAAAAAATAAACAATTATAGTCAGTGACGGTGTAGTTTTTTCCATACGTTGTTTATACGAAAGATATATCCATTTAGAACCTTGAAATATAATAATAAATTTTAAGGAAAGTCCCGTAATAAATATTTTCTATTTGTATTTTCCTAGAAGCAAATTGAGGTATTGTTGAAAAACATTCTACTTTAACACCTATAAAGGGAATTTAATATTCCACGTTCTTTAGATGTGACGTGATCTGTGATTCATTTTGAATAAAATATTATAGTAAAGGTAAAGCACAAACTATTTTTTTTTAAATTTAAAATGACCTTTTTGTACACCATATCGTATCAGAATTAGAATGAAACGTTTTTATTAGTTATTGCTACTTACAAACAACTTATACATATAAATTAACTTATAGAAGTTTAAAACTTACAAACGTGTTAATCGAGGCTATTTAAGGATTGTAAATTTTAATGTAAATACACATTTGTGCTTCAAGTACTTCCTTCAGGTGCGCCTTTACTTGCACAAAATTATACAACTGCAGATGCATTTTGTGTTAGTGTGGCTAGAAAATTTCAACCGTGCAAAATTTGTATCTTTAAGAAGTTTTATGAAATAGGAAAATATATTTTTTGTTGAGATATTTTAGTTGTTTCTTCTACTTTGAAGCTTAAGCAAGATTTTATGTTTCTCCGATTTTTATTAATTCAAGTAATTATAGTTGCTATTTGGTTAGTAAATAAGAGATTTGTTGGTATCATATTTCAATAATACATATATATTTTATCAAATTGAAAAATCAATAATAATTGAAATTACCCAATTTTGGTCCAAGATTCAAATAGGTTACAATTTATTCTCTTAGTCTCGATTTTTTGGGATGGCTGATTTAGATTATTTACAAAGCGATGGGCATTAACATAAATGTTTTTCTTGTCAGTGCGGCCACTGTCCGTCGAAATCTTATCGAGAGAACAACCACTGTCAGTGGGTAGACAAGCCGAGCTTTGGTGCAATTCAACCGGTGCAAGACCTCCAGCAGCGGTCACTTGGTGGCTAGATGACAAAAAACTAGAATCTATAACTAAACAACAGGTACACTTATTAAACAATTATGGTTTTTAATTTAAACGAATGTAAACTCCAAATTATGCAAAAAAATTCTACTCCTTTATTTAAAAATTACTTTATATAGTCAATTTTTAATAGGATTTAGAAAAAAGGAACGAGACTCAGTCTGTGTTGAAATGGACACCTTCAAAGGAACAAAACGGAAAAATACTTACATGTAGAGCAGAACATTCCAAGTTCAATAGTTCAACGATTGAGAGCAATTTGCTGCTTAATATTTTTTGTAAGTATTCTTGTTTTGTATTTGTTTTTGTTTGTATTTAGTTGAGAGATTTGAGAATACTTCCAGAACATTAAAAGTGTTATTTTATATACACGTATTGATTTATTATAGATTTGTGGTAAATCTAATCATAACTGTGATTGTACCATACAAAGTATATTTTTTTCCTTATTACGAGTTATAATAAAATTATCTTGTTTTAATTAACTTAAAAATATGTCTAGAACCTACCAATATGTATGATAAACAGAAGATATCACTTTTCCAAGTGATTAATATGAACAGTCGAGAATCATATAATATATAAATACCCGAATCATTTTAAGTTTTAAAGGTATACTTTGAATCCTTATCATAACTCGCTTGAATAAAAAAGGGTTTTGTTTTTATTCTACATATATGTATTCTAGCTTTTTTCATTTTAAAAATCCTTGTAAAGTTTTTCTTCAATCTTAACTGGTCCGAGTGGATTAGATAATAAAAAAAAGATAGAAAATTACAATACAAATACATAAACTGACATTTCAAAGTAACCAACTTTACTACCGAAAGTATTCGTATTTATGCTATTTAAACAGATTAAACTTTACAGGTACTATAATTTTACTATAGGTACTAGGTACTATAATTTTATAGTATATAGATATTTATCTAACATGGTTTTTAAATTCTATTAAAATTTCATAACTGTAATATTATACATATTATATAGGTCTCGTACGTATTCAGTGAGGAATCCATAACGGTTTTTTGACGGGAATTGTCAACAGCAAAACACTATCATACCTAAGTATAACAATATAACATTAATATTATGAAATAAGCTTAATCCCGACATTCCTGCTGTACGTCAAAATGTAATGTCACTCTTGAAATAAATATATATGACTCTCTTCATTTTTGTCATATGCTCTTGAATAAATAGAGACTGAAAGTTTTATACGAAACACTATTTTGGATTACACTTTATGCTTTCTTTTATTTTTATATTGGTGTATTTTGATATGCTGTGTACGTAACAATAATTTCCTGTTATACTATTGCCAATGTTATGACTATGAACCTCTTTAAATTCTGCATTTAAATCGTGTCAAACCTATTTGGTACAGAAAGGGTTTGTGTCAAGGAGAATAGAACTCTATTTTGTTTCATATAGAATAAATAATTCAACAGATGTCCCGGTTGCTACAATGCACCTTGGCGCGAAAATAAACTCGAACGATATTGAAGAAGGAGACGATATGGACTTCGGATGCGAAGTTGATGCTAATCCCCCTGCTTATAAAGTTGTGTGGGAACATAACGTGAGTTCAAATTTACTTCGCCTTTCTATTTTATTACGAAATACTTTCCTATTTTATGATGTGAAATAAAAATCGGCGGAAGGAAAAAGTTTAACCATGACAAATATGATTTGAACTCTGATTTTTTTAAAACTTTGGATTATAAATAGCAAAAAAAAATTCAGTATTATATTTTTCAGTTTACTAAAAAGGTGCCTAGAGGTGTACTAAATTAAATATATACCTCGAAAGTTAATTGACATTATATTATTACAAATTTATGAAATTTTGAAAGTGGTTGAACATTTTATAATGAAGTTTACGTTTAATTTCCATAATGTTACATGTTATTTTAATCACAAAATTAAAAAGAGTTTTTTTAATCATCCCATAAGTCTTATACAACATTACTTAAATTATTACAAGCTTTTTCATTTTTAAATATTATGTGTATTCCACGTCCAGTTTAGAAAAAAAACAACAGATATAAAATTTGGTGAAATGTTGCTCCTCATCTGAAGACAATCCATTATACATACAGTAGAAGCTCTTTATTCGCGGGGTATATGTTCCATAAATATGCCGCGAATACAGAAACCGTGAATGCGGAATGGTAATTTATATGGGATTATAGGGGATACGTTCCTAGGCGACAAAAATAAAAATAACAAATATATTAAAAAAATATTTAATTGAAGTTTTTGAACTTTTTTATTAATTATCTTAAGGCTTAGCCAATGGTTTGAAGAATTTTGTAATTTTTTCTTGCTTGGCAGTTTTTAAAAGCTCTTTCAATTCAGACTGATGTACAGCAACGGCATTAGCAATTTGCATAGACGGATCAATGTTCATAAAGAAATCACAAAGCTCATTTGCCATTCTTAAACCTTCACTAAGATTTTTCAAATTTGTAAATGTCACGTTTCCAGTGTTTGTTGAAGCCTTTTCTTCAATGGGCTGTGACTTTAACATTTCCTCCAATTCGGTTTATTATTGAGTTATAAGGTTGCTTTCATTCTGTTTGTTTACATTCTCAAAAACACCGCTCGCGGCTTTTGTCAAAGTCCTCGGCGATATCATTTAACAACATACTTACGGTAGAGTTCTTCTAGAAGAAGAAGACTTATGGTATAGTAGTAATAAGGTCTATTTTACTTTTTTATTAGTCCATATGACAAGTATATTGTGTTAGATATTTATTGGAATAATTTAATTATTACGTATGTACTTATTAGATCCGCGAATAAAGAAATTTTTAGCCGCGAATATAGGAATTGGGTAGCACTTTTTGAATCAGCGAATAGTGGAAACGCGAATAAAGGAAGCGCGAATAAGGAGCTTCTACTGTACTTCGATACGTTATGTTCGCTACCCCCTAAAATTTATATTAAAATAAAATCTACTTTTACGACGTCTATTAAAACACACTTGACGACTTCTCTCCTATTGATAAGATAAATTTATATTCCAAAGCAATACAATGATTAAAAACCTTATCTCTTATACACTGTAGCACGAAGTTGAGTTAAAAAAATAATTCATAACTAACATTAAAGTAGGTTTAATATTTCAAAATATAATAAAATAATATAAAAATATAATCATTGGGGTTAAATAAAATAAGAATTTTATCTAATTTAAAAAAAAATCATCCTACCCATTCATTGTGCTTTAACGATTATATTCGCTCGCGTTTAGCTCTTTACATAGTAATCATAAAATAAAATGCCTCACATCGTTTTAGAATAGAAATGATACTCTTACATTGCTGAACTGAAACTAATCAAACATACCTAAGATTTACTGTAAAGACAGAATTTGAGAGCTATATTGAATCAGACACACACATACACCCATACACACTGGCACTCAAAACATAAATATGCATGCACATACAGACATCGCGTTTAGAGTTATTTAGCGATGAAACAAAAATTTAACTATTATAATTATTTTAAATCTTTACTGCAATACTTTTACATCCTAAATTTTTTAAATAATTAGTCTAATAAATAAAAAAAAAGTATTTTTGTAGATTCGAAAGAAAGTGGTTAAGCTTCTTAAAATAATATATGTATATTCAACCAATCTTTTCAATGTAATTTCAACAAAAATTTGTTCAAGCTACATACAAGGTTTCTACAATTCATGCTTTTTGACGAGAACCGCACAAAAAGCATGAACCGTCAATATAAAGACATATATTGTAAATGACATATTTTTTGACCAATTCTATATCTATCTAATATATAAAATTCTCGTGTCACAGTTTTCGTGCCCATACTCCTCCGAAACAACCTGACCGATTTTGATGAAATTTTTTGTGCTTATTCGGTAGCTATGAGAATCGGCCAACATCTATTTTTCATCCCCCTAAATGTTAGGGGTAGTCCACCCCTAAATTTTTTTTTTTTATTTTTTAGACAAAATTTTTAATTACTATTTTTTTTATAATACAACGTACAAAAATACATACAATCCTAAATTTTCACCCTTCTACGATCAACCCTTATTTTTTAATAGCTATTTTAGTAATTTAATCATTTTTCATCTCCGGTCGATAACTGATCAATCGTCATTTAATAAGTTATCCCCGCCAGATATCTACAGGTGTCACTTCTGACCCAGTAAACAGCACGGAGTAGGGATGAGAACGAAGCCGGTCTTCTGTTTCTCTCACACAATTAGACTTCTCTCACTCCCTACACAGTTGTCGGCCATCGTTATTGTTTGTGCATCAAGTGTAGTAGTAACGTTGACAATTATTATTTTGCTAGCTCAGTGTAACTCTCATATTAACTATTAATCATTCCTAATCACTTCAAAACACGGAGATTTATGGCTTTAATAGGTAAACTCCAAAAATATAATTAAAAAAACGTAACAGATATTTCTTGATTATAGGGCGAAATGAAGTTCGCCGGGTCTTCTAGTATACTATAAAAGAAAGTCGTGTTAGTGACTCCACTTGTAACCCAAGAACGGCTGAACCGATTTAGCTGAAAATTGGCAGTGAGGTAGATTAGAGCCAGGAAATTCCAATAGGATACTTTTTATCCCGTTCGACAGCATTCCCGTGGGACTTGACAGTCATTATAAAACGTGGAATAACGAAACACAATTGACAGCTATGCAATTGACGTATAATGACAGATATATAATGATGACGTATAATGATAGATATGTAATGTAATGATGAGAATTTGATATTTGTAAGAAATCTACTATATAAAAATAAGTCCGGTTTTCCATCCTGACGCTATAACTTCAGCACGAAAGAACCAAGAAAAGAAAATAGCATGTACTACAAATCAATATTAAGTATTTTTAAGTAGATGGTGCCGTCGCATGATACATTGTTTGACAGCTACTCATTGTTCTCTTCTCAGTTAATTTCATGTGACAAACCGGTATTGTGTTTGTAGTTTGAACTCTTAAAACCATTTAGTATTTGCTTGATAAATTTAGAAAATCATTGTTTTTCATATGGGCAGTTATATTTTGCGGGTTCATAAGTTTGGAAACCATACGCTTTATTTGTTTTAAAGTTAGACCAAAAAACAAAAAATGTGGTTTACAAAGGAGCACTTCAATGAAACGGATAATTTGCGGACACGTATAACGCTTCGATTCGGTATCTACTTTGGATTCACTTTCATTTACTTGGAGAAGTTCAACTAAATAACACTTCATTTTTGTAATCGAAATGAATTCATTGCTGTTGTGAAATGAAATAAAAATTTTCCTTTTCAATATGAAACAAAAAAAATTCTTCATCTTTTAATCACCAAACGAAGTGTTATAGAAAAGCCTTCTGGTGGCGAAACGGAGTTCGCCGGGTTTACTAGTTACATATAAATATTGAGTTTTATCTCTAAAATGCAAAAAAATAAATAAATCAAGAAATTTGATCCATTAAAATATTTTTAAAAGTTATCTGTATTTGGCAAGTTTGACGATTATTTTCTCTGCTATAAAATTCGACACTAATACGTATAGCTCTTTCTTATTGCATTAATATGTTATGATTTTACTTTATTTTCAAGTTTATCATAACTTTCACCAGGGTATTCTGCTTCAACACAGTCCTGCCAACGGAGTAATCCTAACTGGCAACACGAACCTTGCACTACGTAATGTGTCACGACACCAGGCTGGTAACTATACCTGCACTGCTTCGAACGTCGAAGGAGACGGGAAGTCGCTTCCCGTGCAAATGCAAGTCGTTTGTAAGTTTTTATTTAATCTTTTCAGGACATATTCATGATAAATATATATCAGTGGAGTGACAAATAAAAAATAGCTGATTTTAAAGACAATATTAATAAAAAAATTGTTTCGTTTTTAAATGGTCCTATTTTATAGAAATTTTAATAGATAAGAGTATATTTTACTATGCTATATGCTATATATGCTATGAGTATATTTTTATGCTTGAAACGTTTTATGCAGATAGACCCGTGTGTCGATCTACAGATATGAAAATAATAGGTGCAGCTTTACAAGAACCATCGAAGGTAGAATGTGAGGTGGATGCTTTCCCTCCCCCAGAAACGTTTGAGTGGACACTTAATAATTCTGAAGGCTCAATAAAAGTTGACCCCGTAAGTAAGCCTTTCTTTAATAACATTATATCCATAATTTCGTTAACGTAATATTTAGTTTCATATTGATAATGTAAGAATTTATCGACAAGATATAACAAATGTGCACATGTAATATTAACAAACTTTTTAAAATTAAAGAGATATAGCATTAGTTTAAGCTTGTCATCCAAAATTATTCAAACACCCTTTAGTTCAAAGAATCCCTTGGAAAGGGAATACGCTAATAAAAAGAAAATACATTTTGAGACTATACCGATTGAAGTAACAAAAAGGTTTAACTTTGGGAATACTCCAATGCTACCCTTGTAAAAATATTAAGCAAAGAATTACTTGTGCTATTTTTATGAGATCCACATAAATGATCTTTATCAGTGTATGTATTTAATATTATGTATATTTTGATGTTTATTTTAACACAGTAAATAAATCAGTTGTAAATTTAGGTATAATTACAAATGTTAACTGATATTCAAACAAGAAAGGTTGAAATAAAAAAAAAACTACAAAAAAAAATAAAGCTTTTACTTTGTATTAAAACAATGATTTGAAATTACATTTGGTGTGTATTATTATTTACTTCATTAGTCTAAAATATACGTAGGTTTACGTTACGTCAAATTTATTAAAACATTCATTATTACTTAAGCATTCTCTTTCAATTAAGCTAAGCTTTTAGTGTTTTAGAGAAGCTTTAAATGGATTTTCTTTTTCAAAGGAACGCTTCAACATCAAGGGTCCAGCCAGAAAATCGGTATTAACTTTTGTTCCTGTATTTGACACGGATTACGGAAAGTTGTCATGTCGTGCAACAAACCTAGCAGGTCAGCAAATGTTGCCATGCGTGTACACTATACTGCCTGCAACTAGACCTGACCCACCGTCTAATTGCTCAGTATATAATCTAACTGATGATTCGCTGGATTTAACTTGCATTGCGGGTAGGTTCTTATTTTATTCCCGTTTACAATTCATATTTTAGTATTTTTTATATGTATTTATGTATCTTGAAGGGTACGAAGGTGGCCTTCAATGTATCTACGTAGCAGAAGTCTGGGCTTACGAAGGTTTAGTAACAAATTCAACAAATGTTGCTACAGTTTGGAATCTTAGAAGACTTGGAGCTAAAAGACATTTAAATATTGTTGTATAGGCTGCAAATAAAAGAGGGAGGTCTGAACACGTCACTTTGACTGTAGAAACTATTCCACAAAAATCTCCTAGGACGGGTATGTCCTTCAGATCATTTTATAATCATTTTTACCACATTTTTTAATACTCAAAATTCTTGAATAGATTTGTTTAATTTTTATATTTTATAGTGTTTGGTTAAGTAGGTGATTTTTTAAAAATATAAATAGTAGAAGGGATATTAATTTTATAAAATCATTCTCAGATAATGAAGATAATTTTATCTTTGAATACCTAATAGGGTTATACCTTAAGAATTAAGGATTTTTAAAGCTATTCTCCACAAATATAATCCGAACATGAAAACTTTTCTACTACTCCGTTGTTTTGTCTCATTGAGTCTACATTTGCTCTAAATAAGTTTTTAAAACCATTTTCATGGTCAGTGAAATTTTGAGTGTTAGTTTAACCTTGTTTTAACAGAGTAAAAGTAAATTAAAATAGTCGGATTAAATAAGAATAAACGATATATACATAAAATTTTATGATGTTTATTTTTGTTATTGAAGTTTAAAAACTGATTAATTCGTACCATAGGCTGCTAATAGTTTGAATACTAAAACTGTACAAAGTTTTAATGTACAGCATGAAATATAATCCGTCCTAAAAAGAAATAAACAATTTATTTAATAAAGATGACAATACAAACTTCTTGTATTTTTAATATAACAATAATATAAATTTCATATACTTTTATAATTGCGTTGAATGTTTGCTTTATAAAAAATGAAATAAAATGTTTTTACAGTCAATCAATCAACATTATGTAATGTTATCTGGTAACTGACTAATGATTTCGACATTCAACTTTAATTATTACAGATCCCAAATCATGAAGTAGAATATCTTAGTTAATTTATAAACATTTTTTAAATTTAATTTGTTGAAAATTTATCCATTTGGTATTTTTGACTAGCGCACCTTAATAACGCTATTAATCTACAGGACTTTCAATTCGAGATTAGAGTTTTAATAGTATTTATATACTAAAAAGAGAAGCAATCGTTAGCTTTTAATCTTGTTTTTTGTAATTTAAAATAACATCTAATTATAAATTTGCTTCTAATAACTTTTTCAATTACGATTCTGAACACAGCTTCTTTATTATTAATATTTGTGTTTCTTTTATTTTATGTTTGTATAAACTTAATACATTTCAATATAAATAAGAATATTTTAAATGATTTTTACTTTTTATAGATATTTAACTTTCATCCTATTAAGGTTAGTAAGAAGAAATATTTGCCATGCCAATATCAACTATGTTATAATGTACACCCATTACGTTAATCTTATAATAATTACATATCATACTTACTTAATGTTTCTATAATAGTTTATTATGAAATTTGCAATGTTTGTCTTGATCAGTAATAATTTTACACTACAAATGAATTACACAACAGATATTTTTGGTTGAGTGAGATGTAATATGAAACGATATCGATGTAATACGTTATCTTTTACATTAAAAGATTGAAATTATGGGTTTATTTTATTTTAAGATATTAATGATGAACTGTATGAAAAAAAAAAATTAATATCACTGAAAAATGTTTTAGTTGCATATACATTACGTACTGTAAAAAATATATGAAATTACCGAGTTTAGTTTATGATTTTACAGCTTTACTTATAGATTTCCTTTAATACAAACACTTATTTTTATATGTATATAAACTTTTGTCAGTGATGATATATTGTGTAATTCTGTGTTATAAATGTATAGCTCTCTTGCTAATGCTTGTCACCTCCTAACATAAGTAAAAAAGACGGGAGATATAACCGCATGTCAATCTGACACAATAAACCAATTTTACGACCAGTTTGATTAAAGTACACAATATAATGTCCTGTGATTATTTACCATATTCAAGGAGTTACAACTGAGCATTTTTCATGAATATTCAATAATGGTGGCTTTACGAAATTAATTCTCTTTTTATATTGCATTTTACGAAACTTTCCTGACTTCTTTTTGTAAATTACAAATATTACAGCATTATCTTTTACAAACTCAAACTCTTCATAGTTTAATGTGTATGTTCTAAACAGATAACGCTTCACAAATATCACGGCTAGTTTAAAGTAAACATTATTATATCGTCATTTAAATAGCAATTTGGCTTAAATTCCAGTATTAATTTAATACTTTATTGGCTCTTAATCAGAATGCAATCAAATTACGTCTTCTACAAATACATTGAATATAGTAAAATTTAACCTATTTACTGAAAATTTCTAATATTCTATTTGAATAGTCTATTATTATTATCAATGAATTAGTAAATTAAAGCTGAGTGAAAACTATCTTTGAGTTTAAGAATTTGCCGTCTCCATGGTTAAATATTTTTATCAATACAGTTTTTTGGATTATAGTCCCACAACATTATTATATATTATACGAAATGGGAAGACGTTTGTGGGTTTCTCAACGCGTTGACACATTAGTTCTGTCCCATATCAGGAAGACAGTTATGACGGTAGAACAGAAAATGCTGAGTCTGAAAACAGACATAAATGTTCCTACATATTAAGAGTGCCCTTTTTTTACGCATCTTTTGGCTATAAATACTTTTTATTTCCGAATTGTTAATATTTTTTATTTTTATTATTATATTTCATCAATAAGAATAGAAAATAAACATTTTGCGGTAAAAATGGAATTGTTGGGAAGAAACTTCATGTGTAAAATTATATATTTCAAGTTATTTAGATAGAACAGTAGGTAAAAAGAAAAACCATGTTGAGAAATATTACGTAATATCATTTAAATTGAACGATAACAAGCTCCTATATTACTAATTCCTTGTTTTCTATTTTGGTATTATTATAAAATTTGGTGTGTCTAAAGACGGTCATAAACTTTCAAAACTTTTATAACCGTTTCGCAGAAGTTGTCATTTTGTACCATAAAAATAATTAGACCTTAGAATTGTTCATGTTTACATTTTAACGTGCTTATTTATTAAATCAATCATTTAACGATTTCGATCCATTTGTACATTATAAATGTAGTATCTTTTTACACATTGTAACTCCAGGCGGCAAAGGTAGTTGAGTATGTAAAATGTAAGGACCAGCAACTACGCTTAGATTATTTGGCCCAAAACAATAGAAAATCATATGTTGGGGGTAGTTGTACTGATCCTTCTCTTCCACCATTCAGTCGTTACAAGTCTTAGAATAGTCAGTAAAAGAATCGTGATGTATAAAGGTTTATTTCTGCGTGTATACGTAATCTTCTTCTTCTATATATATAAAAATGGATTGCTGTTCCTTAGTCTCGTTAAAACTCGAGAACAGCTTAACGGATTTATCTTATCTTAGTCTTGAAATGTTCGTGGAGGTTCAGGGAAGGTATAAAAGCTGAAAAAATTTATTAATTACTGGGAAAACAATAAAAACAGCCCTTTTCTATTTCCCATACAAACGGTTTTTTTTTGACATTAGATTTGACAACTAACTAATATGTCAATCATTCTGTCGTACTTCAAAACACGGAGATTTATGGCTTACAGATAAACTCCAAAAATATAAATAAAAAAACGTAATAGATATTTCTTGATTATAGGGCGATACGAAGTTCGCCAAGTCTTCTAGTAGTGTATAAAAATTTTTGAAGTCCAGAATTTATTAATTAATTATTAATTAAAAGTTCAGCCAATATCACTACAAATGGGAATTGTAAAGTTGCAAAACTAAAAGTGATACACACTTTACTTCAAACAATTTTTCCTGACTTGCTCCTAATACATATTAATAAGAAGAAAATTGTGAATTAGCATCACTAAAGCATGAGATTTATCCTATTTTAACATTTTTCGTTCATCAAGAAGTAAATTTATACGGGATACAAATAATATTACTTATTTAGCAACAAGCAAGAAATAAGAACAAAACTTTTTATATACTTTTACATTTCCGAAGAGGACCAAATTTTTAATATGTACTCTCAAAAATAAAATAAAAATATTATCACTTGCACACAAAGTGCTAATTTATTTTCAATTTGTACATGTATTATAAATCCTGTTATGGTGATTTTCTGTAACTAGCTAAAAATTATAAAATCCAGGAGGCATACTTCTACAGAATTTCTGGATCCACGATCTCGAACATCTTGGACATTAAGTTGTTATTCTAATTTTGTTTGGTACCTTGAATAAACGGGCGTTCATTCTGATAAAATTTAAATGTATTTCATATAAACGCTTGAGTATTTGGGTGTAAAACCGAAGTAGTAATTGAGGAAAATTTTTAAACTTTACACTTTAGATTACTCCAAATAAATCTTTCACATTCTTTAAAGTCGCTTTGTTCTGTAATGTTCTTTAAAAGGAGTAACTTTCCGTAAGTCAGGGAATGCATATATGTCCAATATCGAATTTAATAATAGGAGCAATAGACCTATCAGTTGCAGTTACACAAATTCTACACATTAAGATTGTGTTTTTCATTTTCAATACCGATCCATTTTTGAACGATGTTAAAATGTGTTTCTATAGCTAAAAAATGTGTTCTAGGTCATTGGTAAGATTTCGAAACTATCTGCTAGATATTTACATTTTCTAGATCGACAAACAGTAAGAACCAATTCTTTTTCCTAGCATTTGAATTTATTAGACAGTGTTCCTCCTCCTCAACATTTGTGATAGGTGTGAAAAGTCGAACAACTTAAGTTGCTATTTCAACAGCTTCCAACCTGTTATATGTGGTAACTTGATAAAAATAACATGTTATTTTTAATTTTCATAGAGGGCTCATTACTTTATAATTACAAATGTCTAGTCTAAACTGAACGCTATCGAGCATCATACGTGTCAAAGATTATTATTTTCTTTTCATATACTATTTACGCTCACAAATTATCAAACCTAAATTTTATTTTATTTATTATTTATAAAGTCCTCCGGTAATAGTTTCTATTGTATATCAATTCGTTATATATATACTACTATAAAATTATAAATAAACTATTTGTACCAGAAAGAATTTTAGTTCTAGCTTTTATTGAAATTAGAATTGCCTCCTAGATTTTAAATTAAGTTTGAATTTATTTTTATTTTATTTTGTAAAAAATTTATATTCAGAAGCGCAAGAGGCATGGGAAGTCAACTGGGCTGTCGGTGGTGTTCTTGGCGCTGCATTTACCGTCGCATTCATACTATGTCTTGCAATTATTGCTTCAAGATTACGACACAGTTCTAGAGACTACGGAGGTTTGAATTAAAACATATGTTTTTTAATATAAATAATGTTACCCAAATTATATACTTCTTTATCTATAATCAGAACAGCAATCTTATAATTATTTTCTTTTTTTAGTAACTGTACAATCAACGAAGAATCAAAAGATGACTCTCCAAAAGAGGTGCTCGCCGGACAATTGTAATCCGGATCTCATTCCGCTCAGTCAAGGTAATTATAGTATTATCTTACATTTCTTTTTTTGTAAGTGTTTTTTATCCCTTTCTAATCCAGAGATATGGTACAAGTTAAATAACTACAAAGTGCTCTTAGTAACAAAAGAAAAACGATTCTTCCCGCTGAATATCATTTTTTTTATTATATTATAATTTTTTTTCAAAATAAACTGGCAAAGCTAGAATTTTCTTATCTGCAAGCACACAAAGCATTTCTCTATAAATATTTCAAAGCGTCCGAAATAAAATCAAAAATTTGATAAACACAAAGCTTAACAATAGTTTTGTTTTTTCCGTACTTTTACTGAATACATTTCAACGAGCCGCCATACGAACTGATTAACCACGCAAAAATGTCCTTATAAAAAAATAATTATCCTTTATATATTCTCCATTAAGGAGATCGTTATACCTTGGGAAAGTAGCTCGGAATTATTATGTTACTAATCCATTTAAGTTTCAAATAATCAATAATCAATTAAAACAAAAATGAATTCTTTTTAGTAATAAAATATCTTTAAATCCAGGTACATTTTTCTAATGGAACAATTTTTTTTTAAGAAAAGCTTTAATATTAGAAACGGTAAGGTATAGAGTTTCATGGGGCTTGAAATTTGATTCTAATTTACAACTTTCTTAGCAGTTTTTGTATAGTTGTCAATATTTTTAAATCATTTATTTTTCAAATTTCATCTACTTTTTAAAAATACCGGTATTCTGCCCATATCAGACCTCTTTTTCATTATAAATATTTCTAGGTAATATTTTTCAGTTTTAATACTTGTGAGTGATATTCGCTCTTTTTGTATTGCCAAAAACTGTTATAGCAGTTTGATTACTTTGGAAAAAAATTGACGTCAAAGTAATGGCTACTAAATTTAAATATGCATTTGTTGCTTAAACGAGTGCAATAAAGCTTGCTGTACGTCACAGATGTTGTTAGACAAACTGCTCTATAATTTGATTTGATTTTATTGATATACGCTGGGCAATGTGTGCTCCATCCAAACTTTGTTTATTAAAACCGAGTTGTACTCTCGAATCTTTTCATCCCAACTTAAGTGTTTTAAGGAAGAACGTTGAACGATCTTTTTGTTTGTTTTCATCTCAGTGTTTTAAAGAGAATAATTGACTCCTTCTGAACGGATGCTCCTTTCTTAAAGATTGCATTTTTCTTGGCATAATTATTGATCAACTGGCTATTAAACTGCTCTGAATAAAAGAAATAATTACTTTTTCGAATTTAAGAGATAAATAAAGACTCAATATTTATAACGTTCTTGTATAGATTTTAAGAATAGCTTGGATATATGAAGTGGAATCACATGTCAAGTAAATTACAAAATATTTAAGATTTTAAAAGAAATTGAAGTAGAAAACTGTCTGCCGTGCTCCTATTCTTAAAAAACTTTAACAAAAAAAATTGGGTTTTTATCCCCCCGCAAACCTGACTGCTCAGACAGAATATTGAAACTAATATAATACTAAAATTACGACATTTTTACATAATATTTCCATTTTTTTCTGAGTTAACACAAACATATAGATAAGGTCAAAACATCTATACATAACATGCTTGAACTAATTACTAAAATCTTACTATTTACGACACCAAGCAGCCGTTACCGTCATAAAAAAAAAAAGATACATTGAAATACCAAGAATAAAACTCATTGAACCCTGAAATTATTTTTGCAATTCTACGTTTATTTATTTTATAATATTTGTTTCGGTTATGAGTGATGTTTGAAATGAGTTATTGATACGTGAGATTGCTATGTAGACTGTCTGTGATAACATAGCCGAGACCTATAAGGATATTGCTACTGGAGGTGCAGGATATTCGAGAATAGTAATTGTATCTCGATTAACCTATATTGGCATCTATTTATTATTAAAAATCGATTTGCGTTTAACCTACATTTACTAATAGGTAACGAATATAAATGGATAAAATTGTTGTTACAATCATATTTTTCGTTTATATTTAACTTAGTTTAAAACATCATCATGAAAGACACATTAGATGGGCCCCTCTTATTTCAACAGAAACATATATCAAGATTTCCAAGTTAGTGTGACATTGTGAATTGTATTTTTTTATATGTGGTGGCATTCAGTATAAAATTAAAAGCGACTTTGCAAAGTGAAACATTATATTTTTAGTAGATTTTTTTTAAGAATACTTATTTTGTGTAACGCTTTAAACTTTTTGGTTAATAGTAATAAATTAGTAACCATTTCTTTTAAAAGCTATAATGGAAGAATAAAAAACATACTCCGCAAATAATAAACAAATTAAATCCTTAATACATGTTTATATTTCTTTTTCAATATTTTTTACTATGCTAACATATTATGCTTTAATTAATGTGATTACAATCACTTAGTTTAAAATATATACGTACTTTCAATTTAACACTAGTAAACATACTTGGTGCCAGGTGTTATTACATTATTTAAACTTTTCTCATTTTACGTTGTCATGTCGAAAATACGCTAGTTTAATCAAAATATATATGTACTCTCAATTTGGGAATAACGAACCAAAAGAGGTGATTTAAATATTTTATTAATAAAGATAAACTGAGTATGTTTATTTTGGTTTTTAAATTCTTGTACTCCATATGTTTATCAGCGTCATGAACATGGAATATTCACATATTGTTAAAACGAAAAAATATAAATATTTTCTCATGAATATAATAACTCACTTTTTCACACAATGAATACAAATAATTGAACCATATTTTAAATGAAGTTTCATATACAGATCAATTGTACATTTGAAAGGAAGGCTACGTAAGAATTTCGCGTCATTTAAGTGGTTGACGATATCCGTTAAAGAATGCTTATATTTAACCATAAATAAAGGGAAAGAATATACTTTTTCCAATCATAAAATAAAATAAGCTAAAAACATAAATCCGTAGCTTTTACGTTTCAAATGGAAATTCCCCTGCGTCTTGAGTCAATTTAGTCACAAATATTCCTCCATACGTGCAATGCTTTCTAATATTTATCGTGAAGGCATATATTATAACATCGGAATGCTGCCTTATCTGGTTTTTACTGAATGAAATGACAATACTTTTTGTATAATCCTGTATAATAACTTTAAAATCCATTAAATTTCAATTCAACTTAATTCAAAGCTATAAGACTAGTGTTTGGGTAAACTAGTGTCTAGAAATGAGAAATCATTCCTTTGTTTTTAATTACGGTGAAATAAAAGCAAAACATAACTGAAATAATGTTTTGTTTTTAATTTAAGCCATAATTTTGCAACAATAGTCAAAAGTAAGAAATTTTCACAGGCCTGAATTAACTGTCTAATAATTGAATTTACTGTAATGCATATTAACTGATACCCACTTTCTTTGATTGAGCTTAAATCTTATAATACTTAATAATACAGCAAGCAAATATAGTATTTACTTTATATCTAAATCTTGTATTATTACTTTTATAAATTATAATTTACATGTACGGTAAGTGTTAATTATAATTTACATAATTACACTTCGAGCGTATCGTAAAAAAATAAGTTTAAGGCTCATAAATTGTAAGACAAAAAATTCTTTATTGTTTGTATTAAGCAGTTATTAGAACAGAGTGATCCACAACGTATTTGTCGATCGATTGCATTCTAGAGGTTTGTGAATAATTACTTCTATAGCCATGAAACTATTTTAAAAGTTTTTCTGGGTTTTTTTTTCATGAATTTGCTGTGGGCTATGTAAGTTATGAACGTTAAATGACCTAATTTAATTCATAGTTATGGCTTAATAATATAATGATATTTTGATAGAAGTCATTTAATATTTTGGGATCATACTCGTAACTACAATAATGTAATTGCATAGAAGGTTTCGATATTATATAAAACTTCACTATTGAATTCTTATAACTTTGTACTATACTGCACTATATAAAATACTGAGAAATCTAACAAAAAGACTTTGGGCGCTTTGAGGTTTTGCATTGATATGAAACAAAACAATAGTATAATATAATTGTAAATTTTATTGTTAAGTGTATTTTATTAAATGTTAATCATTTACTATGCGATAGTCAAGTTGAGATAAATTATCATATGTGTCACCAAATGCCCTCCTGAACCACCGCAATATTCAGCAGTCGTACCTAAAACAGAAGCGAAAAATTCTACAAGCACCCATAGCTTGGCACACACCCAATCGCCAAGCTCGCCAACTAATACTCAACATGATTTATCGGTAAGTTTCACTTTAAATAGTTATTTATAGTATTAGATCAGTGTCGATAGGTTTTAACACAAAAAAATTATAGTAGGATGAAACCCATTACAAAAGGAGGGGAGTATAATAAAAAGTAAAGGAAAAATAATTAACGGGCAATCTGAGGTCGGGAAGGATATGGGGGTGGGAATTTAAGGGTAAAAAATGGGGTTTCTCGATTACCGGCAAAACTAAAAGTCTTAATGAAAAATGTTAAATGGTAAAGTTGTAGGTAATAAAAAAGTCTAAAACTTTTGTATTTACACTTTTTTTCATATAGTTTATCTCAAAATTTATGTGGAAAACTCGAAAAATCAAGTTTTTTGTGTTTATTGTTATCTTTTACAAAAAAAATTTGATTGTCACGAAATTTGGTAAAAACTTACCTTTTTATGTCTAAAATAGACTGTAATTTATTTGATTATAATTAAATATTAATTAAGAATTAATACCGAAAAATCAGCATCATTTTCGATTGAAAAATCACAGTCAAAATAACAAGTTTTTTCAAAAAGTTTCGTTTCTGATCTTTGACTTCTACTTTCCAATGGTGAAAATATAGATATTACTATAGTTAATCTTCTCAGAAAATGAAAAAAAATGCAAAATCAAATCCTTTCTTCAGCGTTAGATTTGACCAAAAAATTAAATTAAATTATTTTTCCTTTATTTTTTATAATATGTACTCCCCTTCTTTTGTAATGGGTTTCATTCTACTATTTTTTTTTTCACTTTTATTTTATTTTAGCCCTCTACCCAGGCCTATATAGCTCGTATCATTTTTCATAATGAAATTTTGCTCAATGTTATAATAATTTCAAATATTTTAAATTAACTCAATGAGATCAGGTTCTTAAAACTAAAGTTACGAGAACATGTAATACTTTAACGTAAATGATATTAGGTTCAAGTTTGAATTGCGTCTGGACCCCTCCTACAGTGTGTCCCTAAAGATTTGAACTTTTATAATTACGTGCAATAAATCCCGAGATGACTATGAAAATTTTATAATATACAGATATTGTGTGAGCGCAGTATGTTTTCTTATATTCATACTAAATATTAAGTTAATAAACCTGCTATTCAATATTTACTTAAAGAATACTGATTTTGTCAATTATCGTCATTATTTAAAACCGAATAAAAAAAACAATCTTCTGAGATGTAAAGAAAAAGTTTATCCCGATAAAAAAGCAATGTCCTAAGCGTATTCTTACATTATACAGAATAGGACGGCTTTCGAAGCGATCTTCTTGAGTGCCCTACATTTTCAACTTAATTTATGTATGCTATTGACTTTGTAATGGTACAGCACTAGATTGTAAAACTATATACATTATTTAAACACGCAAACACTATTTTTTTTACAATAATTAAATGTGTCAAGACATCTTAACATTGGTATTAATATTATATTATATTGCAGAACCAACGACCTGTTAACGGTAACGCGAGGTCACTTCGAGAGATTGTAACAACTCGTACCCCATTACTGGCAGCGCATCAAGAAAGCCGTGTGTAAAATAAAAATGTAGTTAATAACTATTACTATCTTTTTTCATGTAAAACAAAAACTATATTTCCAAGGGTAACAGTCATGGTATTTGTAAAAACAGTTAAAACATTTTGAAATTACTTATTTACTTAAGCTACTTTTTATAACGTGTACATACAAATAAAAGAAAAATAAATTCAGTACATAAATGTTTTGTGAAAAGTTATGATAGTGTTATACGATTTCAATATTTGTTGCTCAAATATATACATACGAGAAATTGATTAAAAACTGACTGACAAAACGTAAAATTTAAAAATATGACATATTTTATGACATATTATTTCTATAGTTATAATTTCATTGTAAATAAAAGTAAAATTGAGATTGAAAAAAACACTGTTGAGTAATGTTTAGATAGAATGAATTTGTATATATAAATACATATGTACATGTGGCACAATTACTTTATTGTCCTAAAATAGGCAGATTATATTAAATCCATTACGAAATAAAATAGTCTTGGTTGGTTTAGTAGCTAATTATTATTAATTTGCATGTTAAAGCATCAACTTAATTTTGATCGCGCAAACGAAAAGCAAGTGGTAAAATAGTTAATAATTATTATTAAATATTACCATTTTTTTTTGCTTTTAAATAAATCAATAACTATTTCTTTTATTTCGTTTTTAACTTTGCAGTAGTCGTCTTGTATGATCATCGAAAATATTAAATTGTTTTATAATTGTTACTACAAATAATGTATAACTTGGAACGAATTTCAATTAATTGTAATTTTTAGATAGACATAATTGTAATAAACATTAAGGTTTTATAAACCAAGATTCCATACAATTTATACAATATATAAAAAAATAAGTTTGTATGAATTGTACATTAAAATACTGTAGATGGAATAAGTAAAACAAGTCAATATTAAATAATATAATAATATTTTAAAATACATCTTAAAATTAAAAAATATTCTTGAAATTTCCTCTTTTTATATTTGGACCTTATTGAAGTGACGTTAATCGTTAAAGATATTTTTTTGATATCTACTTCCTCATTTTGATTTAGCTTTATAATTCACATAATAATAGACAATGAGATAATTCAAAATAAAATTTTAATAAAATGAATTGTGTATCTGATAACAATATGCGTAATTATTGTATGACAACATTTATATTGATGTCAATTACGTGGGATGAATGATAACTATGTATGTTTCGTGATTACGGAGAATATTTGTTCTAGATTATAAATTTACATTTATGAAATCAATTATAATTTGTTGTAATTTCATTGTTTTAGAAGAAAAAAAAAGTGAACAACCTTTGATTTGAACGTGCTATATAAATAATGTGTTGTATGTATATATATACATAAAAAAATCTTTTTCCTTGACACTGTAATTTTGTTGACATCAAAATACTTTAAAAAATATACATACACAGTAAAAACTATAATATTATATAAAAATTGCTCATGTAATATAAAGTATATTATTTATGTATCCTATGATTATATAGATTCACAAAGCGTTGAAATTGTTTAAAATATTTGTTTTATACATATGATTTAATAAAGTATTATTTGAATAAAATATAGTATTCATTTAAGAGTCCTATCATATAATTTTAGGTACCTTTTTATTATATATGTCGGATTTAGAACTACTATTTTTTTTAAAGTGACGTCACCATTACTAATTCCGCAAATACCTATATTCTTGATTGCCGTCCGATTCTCAGGTTATTCATGAATGTAACTTTGTAGAGTAGGTAGCCTAGTAAGCAACCTCGTAAATTTTCTATAGTCTTGGCACTTAAAGTGGAGGCTTGTATTTTTTGTCTTTATACTTGGCCTGCCATTAAAAATTTTCTCTTTATCTCGTTTCATCCTTCTCTTTAATTTAAATACTATAAATAGAAATGAGCCTTTTCTTAAGCTTAAGTAATTTAGCCAACCTTCAAATGGAATCATGAGGATTTTTAACACTTCGCACACTTTCTAATAACATTCCTAAAATAGTACGAAAGTAGTCCTACTTGTATTTCATAAGCATGCCGCATATAAAATAATTGATAATGCATTATGTTCTTTGGTCGTCCAAAAACTATAAAAAAATACATATATATTTTATTGCTAGACAACAAATATTCCTGGCACAGATAGAACCCGATTAAAATATTGTTTCAACATAAACCTTTCCAGTAGATTAAATCCAAAACAAAAAAACTACATTGCGAATGTTAAACTCTTCAATGTTTATCATAAAAAAATAAATTCACAATGTGTTACACAAGGATTACAATGCTACGACGGCTCTATTGTTCCTGTAAAAATATTAATCTATAATTTATAAATAAAACTGTATTGGTTCTAAAAATAAAAACAGCTTCATCGATATAATAAATTCGATGCGATATCATTTTTTCATTTATTTCATAAATAAATATGTGCACAGGTATACATATTTACGAACATGTGGATGTTATAGTGACGAAATGTAGAAATAACTAACTATATAACTCTTGCCCTCGCTGGAAAAAAATTTCCCTCATAAATAATGACACGATATCTAAAGGCATTGTGCTGTGATGCAGGTCCAGCGTACAAAACATTTGTGATCAGGAAAGGTGCTGAGAGGCTAAGACCATTTGTTAGCCATTCAATGGCCGACTATTTATCTCGCAACCATTGACTGGGACTCCTCTATCAATTTGATTCGAACGTGAGGCTTTCCATCAAGTTGTTCTCATCAGCATTAAATGGCCCAAATACGCATTTTTTTATCAATAATTTGGACAACCGGAAAACGAAAACATTTTTGTAACACTGAATGTTTAAAAAAATTAAAATAAGTGATAAAGAATAGTAAAACAATGTACGATGATAAATGAGCTCTGCTTTAAAAATACCTGTCAATGACCACGACATCTCCAATGCAATGATACGTCCATCGATAACGTCCATCGATAGATTGACATACCTTTTATCTCTCCCTGACAGATCATTTCAAAATTGTTACTTTATATATATAGTATGTTTAAATTTTTATAATTATCATTTAAATTAGATGTTGACGATTTATAGCTAAATAAAAAATATCAAAGTTAAAGTCAAAGAAACATGAATACCAAGTTAACATTTTTTTTTGTTAATATGAATTAAACCTGCTTATTATATTAATGTCTTTTATTGTAAATATGATTCTATAAACAATAATAGATATATGTAAGACACTATTTACTAGAATTACGAAAAGTTTATAGGCTTTTCAATAATAAATTATGACATACATAAGTACGCGTTTCGTCCCCATATGTCACAGTAACTATAATATGTTGCTCATCGGTTTTCTATTAACGTCTTCGCACACTTGACGGTAGTGATTTCAAATAATATATTTTTTAGTATCTAATTGAATATACATTTTTTTAATCGACGTCTTTAATGTGGTTTAAGTCACAACATCTTGCAATACTTAAAGTCAAATTAAACTTCTCTTACTTAGATATTCTAGAACCGTATATTTTATTAAAATAAGTATTTTGTAGTTATCCTTAAGTCATGGTTAAATATAACTTTTTCTATTTTTCTGAAAAGCCAAAATTTATTCAATATACCATATCCTTTCCCATCCTATCTTACCCTAATTATAATATGTATAAGCATTTTTTTATTTCAAAAGGGTTTAATAAACAAAGATTATCTAAATCTAATTATCTAAAGTTTTATAACAATAATAATTCATAATAATAATTAATCATAGTCTTTTTAAAGTACAAAAACAAACGTTTAAGATATTATATATCTTTGATAGACAATACTATTCCTATAATAATACCTATTCTACACAAATACTCTGTTTCAGTTTTATTAATGTAATTAACAATAAAGTGCTTCTGACATTGAACACAACTTTCCCTTAATTGAACTTAAAATATGGAAGTTGTTGAGTTAATGAAATAGACACCGTTGTAAAATATTCACGTTGCTACTTAAATAAAAAAGACAATTTGACATTCCATTAAATTATTTTTGGTTTCTGTAGTTACTTATTAAGATCTAAAAAAATATTATGAGACACAAAAATATTTTATCCTTATCTTATCGTAAGTTTGTTACTTTTTATATTAATGTATGATTTCTATTTCGTTGTAAATATCAGAACAAAAATAATAATACAATTTTGAAATACGAGAAATCTTTCTACTTGTTACCAATAATAATTTATTTAATAAAGACAAAGTAGTTAAATACCTTGGCTATTCAAGAATAGCGAATGAAAATATAAGTCATGAAAACCATATTTCTGGTCTAAATTGGGTAATTGCCTTATTTCTATTAGTAATTTCTTTGAATGACTCTCCGAATTTTGTTTTAATGGGGTATTTTTGTTTATTTTGACATAGTACTGATCTGACTTTCCAGGTTATTCATTTATTACTAACATTTTCGTTCCCATTGTTCGCATTTTATCAGTTCTAATATGGTCAAAATTTATTATGTATTGCTATACAACCACATCTATATACTGGTTGTGATTTATATTTGGATATTTTTTTTACATAAGGTGTTTAGCAACAGTAAATAAATTTAATCTGATCATAAAAAGATGTATTGTATTTCTTAAAATTGGTTCCTGCGTTCATTATGGAATTGCGATACTGATTAAGGAGTGTCTATTTTCGTTGCAAGCATATTGTTCTTAATATATGAATATATACATATGTTAAGATTTTTGGAGAATCTTATCTAATCTTGAGATAAAGCGGAGTGTAAAATATACTTTTGTATTCCTTCTCCTACTCTTCTCATTTTGCTTACTCCTTTTATGTGTCCCTTGAATTCAATCACTACTGTTTCTAATTCTATACTTATTTTTGAGACTTTTAGTGGTCTTGTGTTATTATTCTATTCTGTTTTTCTATCCTTAGTGGGCGTTGATCGTTTTCCAACAAGATGATCAATAGGCTAAGAGAAAAGTTCGTTTTTATTGTTGTAGTTAATTCTTTTACCTTATATTGGTTTACTTTCTGGTTGATGATGACAAACTTTGTCATTATTAATATTATATAAAGATATATTATAATTAGTAGGATAAAGACCAATATTTTCAGGTTATACTTAGACCTTCTTTTAATTTTCAGAATAAAAAAAGGTTATTTTGTAATATCTATACTAATATTATAAAGCTGAAGAGTTTGTTTGTTTGTTTGTTTGAAAGCACTAATTTCCGAAACTACTGGTTCGAATTGAATAATTCTTTTTGTGTTGGATAGTCCAGTTATCGAGGAAGGCTGTCGGCTATATAACATCTCGCTACGACCAATAGGAGCAAAGATATAGTGGTAAATGTGTAAAAAACGGGAGAAATTATTTCATCTTTGAAGCCTTCTTTTGCGTGCGCTGTGAAAACGGTTCAAGATACACAAAAAATATGTATATAAGAATAATAGCTCTTTTAATGATCTAAAAAACAGTCCGCGACAGTATATGTCTATCTTTTAAGATTAACTCACAAAAACCGTTTTTATGGTACCTATTATTTGGTCGAAATAATTTGTTTAAGTTGTATCAACATAATAATATTAATCTTTATTCAAATAAACAAATAAATATGTTGTTAGTTAAGAGTACTAAAAACCTGTAAATAGGTGTGGTCTACCTATTTATTCTCATTAGATTAGGATTAAGTTTAAGCATAAAGTTAGAGTACCTTATTTTCATTTTACGGTTGTTCTTTTGATATAATTAATCGTTAAAAATAAAAGTAATTAGGTTCCTAATTATTAATCTTCTTAATCTTACGTTTCTTTTTTTTATTACGAGATACGCTTTAGTTAAATTTTCATTTTCTACGTTTTTTCTTCATCACTATAATGCCGCGAAAAAGAACTCAGCTTTCTCGGCAGACTGCTACTGCAAAGCGGCTGCGAGTTTTGCGCAGCAATGAAACTGAGGATGAAAATATGCACAGGTTGGCTACACAACGAGCATGACTGAACAAAACCGTGCAAGGGAATCAAGCGTTGAACGTTTGTAGCGTTTAGCCTAACAAAATTTCCGAACTTTGGCGAACCGGCAACGGGAATCGAGTGCTGATCGTACTCAAGATCGGGTTGTGGCGAAAATCAATATGTTCTTCTGCCACAAGATAATAAAACAAAAAATGTAGTATATTCAGAAGTTTTTTAAAATAATTAAATTTACTTTAAAAATTATACAAATATATGTAGTTTCAAACTCGAAAAAAAAAACATAGTTTTTATCCTGAAAATTCTGCGGGAAGTCGACCATTCCGAAAATCCCGCAAGAACGGGAACTATATGGGAAGAACCGAAAATCTGCCGGAAGTCACTATTCCACGCGGGCAAAAGCTAGTTGTATATAATCATGTTCCTGAAATTAAGATTAGAAATTGAAATAATAGATAAAGTTACTTGCAATTACAAGTGGTACTTTAATTACGAACACTAGTTATGGTAACCATACTAGTAATATTAAGCCCCTTAATTATTTTTTAATTAATTTTACATCGAAACTAAACTTGGTAAATATTTCAAACTAAAATACGAAGATGTCTAGTTCAAAATTTAATTGCATAATTTCAACCAACTAATCACATACATTGATTGTTAAATAAAAGCTCGTAGAAAACTAATAAAAGTCACATTGCATACAAAACATAATATTTTTTAGTAGTAAGTCACAATAGTTAGTGAGTCCATCTTTTCTTGTAATCGCTTTCTATCTTGGCATGAGATTTTATATATTACTGTACATATTTCTTTTTTTTTTATTGTATGTAATTATTTATTATATACATATATATATTATTACAAGTAGGAACTCAAGATAGAACTCGAATTTGAACTTTTCGTGGTAAGGTTAACGTTTAAACTAGTTATAGGAGTTGATCCAAACTTTTTCTTTTAAAAATCTTACTTAAAAACGCTTTGCATCATATTTGAACTTGTTTTCTAAAAAGGATAGGTAGAGGTGATAAACTGAAGCCGAAAGTCCACAACTTTTAATTGAACTGTTTTTCATGCGAATTTCAGTTTTGATAAAAAACTCCTTAAGCAAATCTAAGATTCATATCATTACCGTATTTCAATAATTTTACTTGTACTTTTAAACCAATCTACATAAATTCTAATCGTCTTATTGCTTGATAAACGTAATAGCTGCTAGACGTACAATTAAAGGAGTCATACTGGAGTTGGTAACAGTAGCAGAAATTTTCAGTGACATCAGTGACCCTGTTAGTCGGGTTAAACACAGCCGTACACACACACTACTCACCGACCATTGAAGCTGATTGTAGTACAAGTTTGGCAATGAAGGATTTTGGTTGACAGTGAGTCTACCTGTCTAATAATTTTCAGTGAGTTCTTATTATATAGGTCACAAGATACAGTCACAAGTTTTATTTTATATAAATGTTGTTATGCAAATTGAAATTATCATTTTATTATACATAATATGAGCATGTATAAATAAATAAATAAATAAATACATCTGTATTTATTTATTTATAGAATACAAACATTAGGTTTTTTCTGAATATATTATTTTTGTAAATTACGCAGCTTATTCCATGCGGATGGTATGAAACTTATATTTTTTCGTTTATGGTTATTGTTAACTCAATTTGGCTGTTAATACATTTTGAAATATCTAAATAAATATCCT